GCTAGTCAGATGCCGTCTTGTGACGATGCTGTGTACCATTCTCCTTGTCAGCCCCGTTACAGTTTTCATTTTCGGCTTCCATATCTCATATCCGCAATCCTTTTTGTCCTTCAACACCAGTATCTCCCATGACCAAATTGTTTTGCCTCACTCCCTGCCCGCGGATGTCTCTCATTTGCAGATCCAGCTGGGACTTTTGTCGCAGCAGCTGCATAATGAAAGTTCCGAATCAAAAGTACTTGCGAAATTTTCGGATCAGGTGCTTCGCATCGCCATTTCTTTGGACAAACTTGCTGATTGCATTAAAAAGAAGCATCATCCGGACAAAGATGAAGTAAGCACCGTGGATGAAGATTTCACAAATCCAGAGGAAGGTGAAGCTGAAGCTGAAGAACAGGTTCCAGGTGGCACAATCTTCACTTCAGGTGAGATTCGTATTTACATTTCACCAAAACAAAACAGGCAGATTGGGAAGAAAAATTTTCTTGTGGTAGAAGCAATAACTCCATCAGTTGGGTTGGCTTGTGCCCGAACGGCGCCGGTTTATGAGTTACAAACGGCATGTGCCCAGATGATTCGGAAATAGCTCAGAAGCTTTTATTTCATGGAAGTGATCCATTGCCAAGAAGAAGATGCTTCACAAAATCACCGCCATACTACACCAAGCCACTTCCTATAAACTTCTCCCTTTGGACTCAACCTAGCAATGCTAACATCTTATGGAACAATTACAAGTGCAAAGACTACTCTTGCCTTGTTTCGAAAGAAACCAAGGACAGAAGAGGCTTCTTCAAATGCTCAGACTGTTTTAACTTTTCAAAACAAACGTGGGACACTCCAACAAACGAGTCCGAATCGGCATAGTTCACCATTGATGAAGTTCTAAGCTTAAAGCCAGGGGAGATAAGAATCGGCCTAGACTTCAGGTCGACCACGGGAATATTTGCTGGTATCATGAGGGAAAAGAACGTTACCATTGCATCAAGTACCTTAAACTTAGGGTCTCCTTTCAATGAGATCATTGTCTTAAGAGGTCTTCTTCCTCTTTACACATCAATCGGTTCGAGCCTACCTTTCTTCGACAACACCCTTGACATTATCCATTCGACTTTGTTCTTGGATGGCTGGATTGGAGCTGAACTCCTTCAGTTTGTATTGTTTGATTGGGACTGCGTCCTCCGGCCGAAGGGTCTTCTTGGGATAGACAGGTTCTTCTGTCACAAGGAAGACATGAAGTTGTATTTGGATGAGTTTAAGAGGTTAGGCTACAAGCCATTGCTATGGAGTGTAGTGCCCAAGACTGAGCTCTTCTTCTCAGCTGTTCTGGGGAAGCCAATCAGAGGTTAATAATCGTCGTTAACAAGTAAATTTCTCAATATCTTAGCGTTTTAATGAATTCCGTGATATTTTAATGAGTAATACTTGTCATTAACAACAGGGATTAAGCATTTCTATCGTACTTAGTAAGGTTTGCAATTACATTGATATTTTAAAGAGAAAAATATATAGCAACATGAAATTATTATATAACTTGTATTAATAACGCATTTTAGAGTACTTGGAGCTAACGGAAGACTAGACATAAAATAGAGCGTAGTGGCGTTCTAAAATTCATACAACCGAATATAAAATTTCTGTATATAGATCTCGACCAATGCTTTTTGCTTGAGAAGTTGAACGGCAGGCATTTAAAATTTCTGTATATAGATTTCGAGATAGGTCACCAAAAGTATATCCACTCCAATTTCGTTTATCATACTGATCGAATATCCTGCCAGACTAGCTACATTTTATGCTGATAGAATAGCCACAATTTCGAGTCTCCTGAAGAAAGTTGATGTTACACTATAGAACCAATTGGTAATATGAAGAATACCGCAATTTATTTGTAAGTCCATGCATGGTGGACGTACGATAGGGGTGACGATGGTGTGCAAACACAAACAAGTAATCGTGAAAAAGAAGAGTCAGCCAGAGTTTGTTCAAAGTCTTTGCGTAGAAAAGACTAGCGCTGAAGCATCACTTCAGCAATTTCCATTCTTTTTCCTCTATCACACATTGGATGAATGTATCTTTCTGTCGTTGGAAGTGTATACTTTTACTTAAAGACTTGTGTTCTTGACGATGATATAACAGACCCGACTTAAAAATATAATAAGTTTTTACTAAAATCGCGTTTCTTGGAAAGAGACTCGGGAGAGTGCTCCATTTGGAGAAATGGACACTTAGCAGGTGCTTTTTTAGAAAACGCTTATATGGCCTAAAAGCACTTTTAAGTCAGAGATAAACCACTCCCCCCGCCTCCTGATCCGACTATTGTTTAATCCGTACATTTCATCGAACCATGAAAATGTTCTAATCTGGAAATGGAAGCAAGTAATCAACACCAAATATAATTAAAAGTACAATGCCATACCTTCTTGCGCTAGCGGAGATTTCCTCCGCTGTCACTCTTTCCCGCAGCCGCCTCTGATCCAGACGGCAATTCGATTGCAATTTTATATTTATTTCTAAGGGCTCGGCACTTTTGGTATAACCCGCCACTTTTAAGTCTGGCGTGATATAGAAGTTTTTTTCTTAGAATTAAAAAAAAAATGATCATTATTAAGGGAAGATGAAGGATTCGAAACTATTACAACAATTAAGGGGAGGGAGAGTTCCAAATTCGGGACGCATGAGTAGAGACGCAACGCTCTATCCAGTAAGATATTGAACCACATGCAATACAGAGGCTTGAACAGTCGCACAACCATAAGTACAGTTTGTTAATAGAAAGTGTTACTAGCTGTCCTAGAAGCAGAACAACGCAATGCGAGGTACTTCAAGTAATTCATCATTCATTTGGGTACAAACACAATTGATAAGAAATAGTTATTGGCTTGCTTGTGACAACCCGTCCCGGGATTTACGGAACGAAAATGGCATTTTAGTAATTTCACAAATTTCGGGATGTTTGTTTTGAAATGGGTTTACTTTTAAACCTTAATTGGTGTGCCAAGGGGCCCACCTTCTGTTTTGTCTCCCCTGGGTCCCCTCTTCATTTTCTGCCACGTGGCAACTCCCACACCCCCATCACCTCACTCTCCCACCTGAGGCACTCTCTCAGCTCTCTCACTCTCTAATCCCTTTCACTCTCACAGACCCCTCTCTCACTCTTCTCCCCTTCCCCGTCGACCCACACACTCACACGGAGGCATCACCACCCTCACCCTCGTGAGAACTTCCCATCCCTCTCCACTGTCTTCGTGAACCTCAGGGGCACCCAGAGGACACCCAACCCAGGTCCAGCAAACCATGGGTGTGCTGCTCAAATCCGGCCACCTCCAACCTTTTCTCGACGAAACAAAGGTAACAAACCCTTCCTCCTCGTTTCACTCTTCGTTTTGGTGCCTAGATCGGACCCTATAGTGGTATTTTGCTATCGGCCAGAGCTGGGGAAGCTCCTGCGTCCTTTTCCCGTCGAAACCAGTTCGTTAGGCCAGCTCGTCCAAACCCTGTCGAACCAATGCCTTTTGGGCCGTGTATAGGACTCGGGGCTTAGGCCCATTAGCCGTTATACCCAAAAGCCCAAACGGTTTAGTTTTTAATTTTAATTATTTATTTTTCTTTCAAAAACCCAAAAGAACTGGGCCGAGCCTTTAAGCCCAAGCCCGTATAAACCCTTGGCCAGAGGCCAAAGGGCTTCAGCCCGTTGAGCTTTAAAAACCCCAAACCCTTTTAAAGCAAGCCTTCAGGCCATGAGAGAACTCGAGTTCGGCCCATTGACCCAAAACCCAAAACCCTTTTGGGCCTTTGCAGTCAAGCTCAAAACCCTTAGGCCCGTGGACCCAAGCCCAAGCCTTAGGTCCAAACCGAACCAAGCCCAGACCCAGTTTGACCGACCCAGACCTGTTGACTTTGACCTAGTCTGACTGTTGATCGGCGTTGACTTTGACTTTGACCGATCAAAGGTTGACGTTGACTTTTTGTTGACTTTTTCGGGCTTCGGTCGAGACCTCTCCTAGGCTAATTTCGACATTCTAAATCTGTTTTTGGTGTCCGTTTTCCCAAATTCAATTGTTTGAATAGAGTTTTATTAATTTGACCTTTTATTTGCTTTGGTGCATTTATTGTGGTGTTTCCATCTTCGCTAATTTGCATGGCTCTTCGACGGCGAAGTATCTGTGAGTGGACCCCTTCTAAAATGCATGTTTTAATAGTAGAAATGCATACATGAAAAGCATGATTTAATGATAACGTTTTATGAAACATTTTATGAAATATTATGCTTATTGAGAATCTTTTGAATTACCATATTTTATCGAACTCATGTTCTTTGTAGTATAAATGATGGATGACTTTATACTACTTATGAACATGTTTTTGCACACTTCTTTATAGTATAGATGATTGATGACTTTATACTATGAAGATGTTTTTGAGATATATATACCTATATTTGGAAAGACTATGTTCAATGGTTTTGTGCTTATCTAGCAGTCACTATACTGTCACGAGCGAGGATTATGGTTGTTAGTTGCGAGCCGGGAGAAATAATCTCTGGCTACGGGCGCAAAGGCATGGAGCTGGCATTAGGGCGGGAGATATTGTTATTGGATACCACTATTTAGCACCCTATATACGAGAAATGTTTCATGAGAAGTTTTATGGCATGCTAGGGTTTCAGAAAACCTACTATTTATTATGCTATTAGTTTTCATAAAACTTTGGGGGTTAATATGTTAAATAACTGTTTTAATATATATATATATATCAACTCGGTCCACTCATGTTTGTTTTGTGCACCTTCAGGACTTAGAATTGAGGCATACAATCTCGGCCTCAAGGCACTTCCACATCGGCATCGTCGAGTCCTCTCGGTGTATGACCCATTCATTTGCTCATTCAATTTTGTATTATTTCTTTTTAGCGTTTTAAATTAGTTGTATGCTCTGAACACGTTCCTCATTTGCATATTAATTACAATTAAATTTATAAGTCTTATTTTTTTCTTGTTCTCATGCATTCTAATATGGCTTCGTCACCTTCAGGTGTCGGCCAGCACGTGCTTACCCTAGTGTTTGGGAGAGTATTAGGGTTAGGCGTGTCATTGCTAACACATCATATAATTTTAGCCAGATTACTCTAATGTTGTTATATCATCTCCCAATCGGATCGTTGATTTCTGAGAAGATCGTCCCGGATATGCACTGAATGGATTCATTCGTAGCGCAACCTGGCACACTAGCGAAGGCATCCTCGTTGTTCCTTTCACCATACTTCTGATGTAGTTGCAATGCAAACTCAAGCCCCTTCACAACATCGTTCATTGTCGGTCGTTCGATCCCACTATCATTGATGCAACTCATAGCAATTTCCACAAACTTGTTCAAACACTCGGTTTCAATCTTACCCTTCATGTTTGGATCAATGATTTGATCAAGTTCCCCGTCGCGATGGCAACTCTTGGCCCATTTAGCCAAGTTCATTTGCCTTGTCTCCACTGCATGCACCACAGCTGGTCTCGAGCACAGTACTTCACACAACACTACACCGAATGAGTACACATCAGATTTCACAGTCAGTTGTTGACGTCGATAGTATTCCGGGTCTAGATAACCGAAACTGCCTTTCACGGCCGTGCTAATATGGGTCTTAGACATGGTGATTGTGCCCATTTTTGACAATCCAAAATCTGAAACCTTGGCCATCCAATTCTCATCCAATAAAATGTTTGTGCTCTTCACGTCACGGTGGATGATAGTGCCCTTGGCTTCGTTGTGAAGGTAGCGCAACCCTCGCGCGGCGCCAATGCAAATTTGGAGCCGTTGTCCCCAAGAGAGAGGTGGGTTGTCGGTGTGGTAGAGATGGTCGGCGAGTGTCCCATGTGACATGTAATCGTACACCAAAATCATCTCATTTCTATCAGTACAATACCCAATGAGAGACACCAAATAGCGGTGTCTAAGTTGTGCGAGCAGTTTGATTTCCGTCTTGAACTCGCAGGCTCCCTGCTTTGACTCGGGTTTCAGCCGTTTGATGGCAACGAGAGTGGCCCCGCCATCGATATGCCCTTTGTACACGTGACCAAAGCCGCCAACACCAACAATGAAACCTTGGCTAAAGTTTTGGGTGGCGGCTTTGATCTCCGCCAGTGAAAAGTAGCGACACAAATCGGACGGTAAAGAAGAGCCGCGAGTCTTGGTTGACTTGGTCGTCGAAAAAGAAAATGGACCCCATTTTGTTCTTTGCTCGGAGCTTGAGTCCTTGACTTTTCTTCCTCTCCAGAAAACCAAAAATCCGAACACAAAGGCTAAAACAAACACACCTGAAACTACACCGGCGATGATGGCAAACAGAGGAATAGATTTCTTGTCTGAAACTTTGGGGCTCTCCGGCTGAGCTATATTTGGCGGGGGAGGCGGGTCGGGGTTTGGTCCGGCGAGATTCCTATTTGAATCACTGAGCTTGAAGATCTCGAGTCCATTCAAGATTGCATCGTTGTAATTCGTCGACGGATTTTTTGGGGTGGTTTGCAGTGCAAGAAAGAGATGAACTTTCTTTTTACTTCCGGCGCCTGCAGGCACGAAAACGACGTAGTCTTTGTACACCGGCTTCCCATAACCTTGGCTCCACCAGATTACATCCGCCATCTTCTCCGCCGTCTGATTGGCGATGAAGATTTGAAACAGCCGGTCCCTGGGCAATGTAACAGCACCTTCGAACTCACAAAAATGAAGTCGAATAAAGTAATAAAACGTAGAATCTACCGGAAACCCCCAGGTGAGATTATAGCTCTTGTTTATGGTTTTGTTCCTCCCCATCGACCGAGCGGTTCGGTAAACTTCTTCCGGAGCAGAGTACTTCGGAATTTTCGAAAAGTCGAGCTGAATACTACTGTTTTGCGGTAGACGACTAAAATTTTTACTCAAATCGTCCAAATAGTTGTACTCCTCTTGAATACCATCCCAGTTTCTGTACATTCCAGTGTCCTGATTGAACGAAAGCTGAGATCCGCCGACGTTGATCCGGTAGACCATCTCCATGGCGGTGTTATTTTCGATCCAATACGGGTTTATGCTGCCTACGTAAACAGCCCCATCTGCACTTTGCGGCGGATTGTAATAAAGATTGTCGGGCATGGACACGATTTCGATTCCATTGATGAAGGCATAGGCATCTGGACTTGCTCTGCTCGGAGTGAACGTGATGTTCAAGCTCTGTTCGGATGCTATGTTGAGACAGAACTCCCTGGATACTGTCTCCGACCAGGAAGCGTCGGCGGTGACGGAGGCGTTGAAGTCGCGGAGTAGGGTAAAGCCGCGGGCTTCGACTGAGAAGAGGGATTTTAATCGGTCGAACTCGGCGGCGTAGGAAGTGGGGTAGAAGTACAAGCGGATGAACTTTTGGCCGCTGGTGAGTGGAAATGTGTACGTAAATTTGGAGCGAGAGAGCCGAGCTGTGGTGTAAGGCACTTGGCTGGAGGAGGAGATCGGGGTTGCTGCTTTGAATACGAATGAGCTGCCAGCTGCTTGGAAGGGGGATAATTTTGAGTTGATATCGCCACTCCAAGTTCGTTCGTCCTGTTGGTTGACTTGGTCGCCGGAAAAGCCGCACTGTAGGGTGATGTCATCGACCGGTTTGTAGACAGAGGGTGAGTCTCCGGCGACGTGTAAGGTTATGATTTGCAGAAACAGGGTAAGGAACAGATAAGCAAGATTGGGTTTCATGGTAAGGTGTTTGCTGCATATGGAAACGGGGGAATTTGTTGCTGCTTATTATCGTAAGCTTATCAAAATTCCATTTATAATTAAACTTCTAATGACTTCTCCCGGCACTTTATAAAGGATTAAGCTTTAGAAAAACTAATGAAAAGTGCTTGAAAATTTTGAGTTTTAACGATAAGGATAAAATAAAGGGTAAAGTGAATAGTACCATGATTGATTTTTAGTGTAAAAACATAATTTTTCGTTAAAGTAAACAGTACCGTAAGTTTTTCGTTAAAGTTCTCTGAATTTGTTAATGGTTCATTATGCCACAATTACCCTGAATTTGTTTCATTTAAATCTCTCTCTCATGGATCAAAGACTTTGAATGTGGTCTAAATTCTTAAAGATTCTCAATCATCAACAGTAACGTTAATAGACTATACACAAAGGTGGACTTGAAGAGTCAAAGTCTTTGTCACAAGTCTTTATGCATGGTGGGTCGTTTGCTTGTATACTTTTCCAAACAAATAGATGAACTTGTTATATATTCTTACGGATAATGCTTGGTAGAAAAGTCTCACCACTAGCAAGTTGCAAACAACCCGTCAATTGGTATCCAGCTATGAGTTAGTAAACGTCATTTTAACAAGCATGTCTCTTTTCAAATGTGACTTTTGTGGTAAGGTGATGATATTATCCCCACAGATTTTTGTTAACATTGATGCAATTGGGGATTACATGTATCATTGATTTTAAGTGCACATAAACGACTAACATATAAAAGGTTTATGTTGACTTATCGCTAGAAAAGCCACACTAAAGGGTGATGTCATCAACCGGAGTGTAGACAGAGGGTGAGTCTGCGGCCACGTGTAGGGTTATGATTAAACCTCTACTCTGAGTTGTTATGTTAGGAAAATGATCATCGCTTGATCTTTTTTCTATGAATCTTGGGGATTCCGTATCGTGATCGTTCATTGTACATCGTGCGATCAGAAATCATTTCAAAATTAAAATTTTAAAATTAAATATAAATAGTACCTAACGAAAACTGATCGCATGATGTACGATGAACGGTCACGATCACATGATTCCCACCGGATCCTTTTCCGTTATGTTATTGTTTGCATGCACAAATATTGAAAATCTAGGGCAAAACAAAAGTAGTGGGACATGAATTCATGGAGGAGTTCATCGTTGATTCATCAGGATGGAGATAATTTTTATTGTGTTCGGGAATATATGACTGGTATATCTAGTGTTATAACATAATTGGTTAAATTTTTTTTTTCAAGAGTCTAATTAATTGTATTATGACACCTGATATACTAGGTTATGTTCTTGATACTGAAAAATCTATTGGCACGATGACTTCTTAAACCACTAACTAATATAAGATCATGCGTGAAATTTTTTCTGATATCACCTTGTATTAGTGGTTCAGTACGCCACAATTATATTGAATTCGTTTCATTTAAGTCTTTTTTCGAACGAGATCAATCAAAGACTTTAAAAGGAAGGTCATCATCCAGAAAGATGTAGCGCACTCCTAACCAAACAATACCCGCCAGAGATTTAAATGTCAAATAATTGGCTGCATGTCTCTATCATCAAGAGTAAAGTTAATCCATATTATTTATCTATATTATTAAGAGAAGAGGGCTTGTCAACTTTTTGCCCCCCTTTCTTCCAATTTTGCTCTCACTTTTGAACACACAATGTTGACATGAGGAGGGCAAAATAGTAATTTTGTATCTTTTGAACTTTTCCCCTTTTCTTCCAATTTTGCCCTCACTTTTGAATACACAATGTTGATATGAGGAGGGCAAAATAGTAATTTTGTATCTTTTGAACTTTTTCCCCTTTTTTTCCTATTTTGCTCTCACTTTTGATACACAATATCTACATAAGGAGGGCAAAATAGTGATTTTATATCAAAATATTTACATAAGATAAAAAATATGCATTTAATAAGAGAAATTGTCCCTCCTTTTTTTCATACATGTAAGTGAAATCCTGATGTTTTTTTGATAGTTTGAATGAACTAAAACGGTTGTGCTTTAGGAGAATGTGGGAGGTGGTGGGTGGTTTTTCACCTTTTTCCTATTTTGCCCTCACTTTTCATACACACTATTGACAAAAAGGACGGCAAAATAGGAAAACAAAAGAGGGAAAAAAGTTGACAATGAGGCTTCTCTTAATAATAGTATAGAAAACAAAATATGCATTTATTAAGATAAATTGTTCACACACACACTTGTGCTCTCTGCTAGTAGACTTAATACAAAGGGTAGTCGAGAAATATCCAAAGTCTTTGCCACTAGTCTTTATGCATAGTGATTTGCTTGTATACTTTTCCAAACAAGTAGAGATTGTGTTGTTAACTTGTTATATAGTCTTAAGGGAAATGCTAGGTAGAAACGTCTCACCACTAACAAGTAACAACCAACCCGTCAAATGGTATCGAGGTATGAGTTGGTATACGTCATTTTAACAAGCATGTGTCTTTACAATGTGATTTTTGAGGTAAGATGATGATAATACACACACGGATTTTCGTTAGCATTGATGCATTTTGTGATTTACATGTATTATTGATTTTAAGTGCATATAGACGACTGATTCTAAGTGCACATAGACGACTGACATACCCTATTCTTATAAGGTACTTGAACAAATTAATACCTAATATACTCGACCATCCTTATATAACATAGTTTGGCTACAATAATATTAGGGGTTATCCTCAATCCGTTGAGGTTTTGCGATTTAGATGTGTTATTGATTTTAAGTGCCTACAGACAACTGATTCTAAGTGCACATAGACAACTGACATACCCTCTTCTTATAAGGTACTTGAACAAATTAATACTTAATATACTTGACCATCCTTATATAATATAGTTTGGCTATAATAATATTAGGGGATATCCTCAATCAATTGAGGTTTTGAGCTTCTGCCTAGCTAAGTTTATGTTAACATGGTGTATAGTGTATATAACCAAAAAGCACATTGTCTTCATAGAATTTATGTTCATCTATTTTGAAATGGAAGTAAAATAAAGCCAACAAGTTACAAGAAAACCCTTATTTGACTAAAATCTATGATTAAACTTCTACTAGTTAAGATCTATAAAAATTAGTGATAATTATGTGATTAATGAATGGGAGACACAATATATTGGGTGATGCTATCCATACGCACTCCATTTTATTTTTCCTTAGCCTTTAGGTTGAACGAATTGAAAAAATCAAAAGACCAAAACTAACAGAGGTCTAGGCACCACCCTGTATATTATACAACAATATGAACCATTATTTTTTAATGTGTGTTGGTACCATATTATATTGGTCCTTGTTACTTGGGCTTTCAGACATTGAGCCCATGATTTATGTAAAAGGGGAGGAGCCATTAGTCTATAAAAGGGTCTCATCACCCTCACAATCCAAATGTCTCATCCTCACCTACAGAAGCCACAAAGCTCACAAACAGAGAAACTCTCTCAAACTCTCTCTTTCTCTGGGGACTCCCCCTCACACTTGTAATCCATACATACAGTTACAAAGAAATACAATCAACATCAGTGTGGACGTAGCCCAAACATTGGGGTGAACCACGATACATTTTTGTGTTCTTGGGCGTTTGCATGATTCACGTTCGGATTTACGTTGTTCCAAGACCTTCCGGTTTTGTGCATCAACAATGTGAAACATTTTAAACCATGAATCTACTCTCAAAAACACATTAGTATAAATAATTAAACGAAAGAAGTGGAAAATATACTTTCCATATCCATTTTGAGTAGTGTTCTGAGAGACAAATGGCCACAAATATTTTTTGTAATCTGTTGGGAGCTTGAGGTTTCCAAATTCAAATTTCAAGAGGTTGGGTTAGGCTCGCCAGATGACGTCAAGATTTGCTTTCAACGTCGTGATCATGGAGACGGTATCTCATTCGACGGGGCAAGTGGAATTTTGGACCATGATTTTGCTCCCTCGGATGGAAGGCTGCACTTGGATGCAGATGAACGAACTTGATCTGGTTTGAGGCCTCCAAGTAAGAACAAACTTGATCCGGTTTGGGTGGCTACGCACGAAAGGACTGGGATCACCTCCGGATCCCAGCCTGCAGAGCCAGCTGACCACAAGATCTCATCCTTCCATTTTCCTAACTGATAAATACTTAGTTACTGATAAATCTTTTTTTTTTTTTGACAAACGGGAGGATAATCTGCACTGAATTTTTCTAACTATAGGGATGGGAGAAAATTTAAACTCGAAAAATAGTGGGTTGAAGAGAAACGCTCTATCTACCAAGCAATCTGCCACTTGCTTGACCAATCAATTAGTTATCTTGTTATTGATCACAATCTGTTCTTTTCAATAATATTACAAAAAATGCCACGGTAATCGTAGGTCATGTTTCTAAGTTGTGTCATTTCTCATTTCCTAATTTATAACATATTGTTGATCAACATAAGTGTTTTGTAATTAATATTGTAATCAATAACTTGAACTTCGCTTTATATTGTATGGAATCCGCAGATCGTAAAACCATGTATGGGGGTTAATTAGGCCTGGCAAATGGGTCGTGTATGTCGTATTCGTGTAACACATGTTATCTTAATGGGTCGTGTCGTGTCACACCTGTTATCTTAACAGGTCCTTAACAGGTCGGGTCACTTTACCCAACGGGTAAAGTGACCCGACTCGTTATGACCCGTTAAGAAAAATATATTTTTTTCTTAAATTTGCACATACCACACATTGCCACTTAAATATTACTTCAAAATATTAAAACACATTTATTGTTTTAGTACTACATCTACACTTGAAAATAAGATCCTAATACAAAAAACAATCAAACACTACTAGTCTATTACAAAATATTAAATGTGTAAGGATATGCAAAAGGAAAGAGTTTTTGTTTTCAAGGTTGTGAAGCCTTTCATTAAGTATAACATAAGATTTTGTGGTATCCACTAGTGTAAATATTTTAAATTGAAGATCGAGTTCATTCATTGTATTCATATAGGGTCAAGGAGTGTAGCTGTAAAAAAATCATCAAAATCAGAGTTAAATTAACCGTTAAATCATGATTTTGCGTTGACAATCGTCAAAAAGTTTTGT